GGAGATGTTTAAGTATAAGGCAATTAAAAGTATAAGATAGGAAGTAAGATGAGATGAATAATGTTGAAGATATTTACAAAAAATGAAATTATAAATTATGTAGGTAGGATTATAGATGTTGAATTAATGGATGAGTTAGTAGTAAAATGATAGGGAGATATATAAAGAGAGAGAGGGTGAGACGTATATATATATACTGTAAAATAATGTAAGAATATAGCAGTAGAAGTTGATTGAAAACTGTTATTAATAAAATATATTAAATGTATAATTATTAGTAAAAATAATAAGAAAATGTTATTGAGTAAGGCTGGGGAGTATTAAAAATAAATTGTGAATAAATGTCATTTATGTGAATATTGCAAATGGTGCCAATTTTATTTTTTTTGATATATTTGTGTTTGGATTTTACTGTTTTTTTTGATTTTATGTTTTTTTATTGTACATAGTGTTTATATTATATCATAATTATTTATTTTTATTGTTTTTTAATATGTTTTTTTATATTTGTTGTGTTAAATTGGAATTTTATTGGTGGGGAAAAATAAAGGAATATTTATTATCTTAAAATGTGATCAAATGCAGAATGAAAAATGTTTGTTATAATATTATATATGTAATTAGATTATTATTAATATTATTATTAAAAACAGGATTAGTAACATGTTGTAGTTTGGTGAAGGTTAATATTTGAAATATTTTGACAGATTTTTTTTTATTTTGTAGAATTTGATAGAAAGAAATGTGGTTTGTAATAAAAATAAAATAATAGAAAAATGTTAAAAATAAAGAATAAAGGGAAAGAAGGAAATCAAAGAGTTTAAATTTGATTTAGTAATTGAGCTAAGATGTATATCTGTATTGCATGATGCAAATTGTATAAATGTAGATGAAATAGATATAATTTTGGTATGAATTTTATAAAAGTAAATAAGTAATATAATACATTGTAGAGTAGTAGAGTAGTAGAGTTTAGAATAAAACATAGTGAATAGGATTGATATATAAATTTAGATAAGAGAAAGTTTTATTGTTCTGTTTGTTGATTCTTGTTTGGTGGGACTTGTTTTGATAGCTGTGTATGGGAATAAAAAATCTAATTGTGTGTTTTTAAGGTGCAACAAGTTTAGTTTCTATGCTGCAGTGATGGAAAGCAAATGTACATTTACTCCAGTACAATTCTGAATTACTTGTACTTTACTTGAG